GCGCACTTGAATTGCGCACTACGGTTGCACGTGTGCTCTAACGTTTGCGCATCGAAGTGCGCGTGTGACGTTGTGTGTTCAATATTGCACGGCGAGCTGTGTGTAAAAGTTTGCTGCGCGTCGAAGTTTGGATGTTTAGCCTTACGTGTCGGGCTTCGTGCGTTGAAATTAGGAATATAGTAGTTAAACGTGCAAAGTTCGGCAGCAGTTTGCGCGTCGAAATTTGCGTGGTGAAGGTTGCACGTTGAAGTTTGCGATCTGCTATCGCTGCATATCGCATATCGCATAAGATGCAGATGTGCATATGTGCATATCAAGCATATGAAGCATATGAAGCATATCATGCATATGTGCGTGTGTTGAAGTTTGCACGTTGAAGTTTGCGATCTGCTATCGCTGCATATCGCATATCGCATAATATGCATATGTGCATATCAAGCATATGAAGCATATGAAGCATATCATGCATATGTGCGTGTGCACGTATCGTGAAGTGCGCGTGTTGAAGTTTGCACGTTGAAGTTTGCGACCTGCTATCGCTGCATATCGCATATCGCATAAGACGCAGATGTGCATATGTGCATATCAAGCATATGAAGCATATGAAGCATATCATGCATATGTGCGTGTGCTGAAATTTGCACGTTGAAGTTTGCGATCTGCTATCGCTGCATATCGCATATCGCATAAGATGCATATGTGCATATGAAGCATATGAAGCATAGCATATGAAGCATATGAAGCATACGAAGAAAAAAAAGAAGAAAAGCGGCGCGCAAAAAGAAAAAAGCGGCGCACTAGGGGTTGAACCGGCGACTGGGTGGACAGACGGAGAGACGGAACGACTAGAGCGCGCTGTTCGCGCGAGAGGGCCGTAGCTCCGTCGTTGAATCGCGCGGGCCACTAGATGCTGTTTTGCTGAGGGCCGTATCGGTCACACACACAACACAACAAGTATATATATATACGAAGGCGGAAGGAGGCTGAGCTTGCAGAGGGTAGCCCGCGCTGAAGCGCTCGCGCGGGACTCGAACCCGCAGGGGGCTCCACACAGACATTGATGGGCAGTTCCCCATTCCTTCCCGTAGGGAGCGAGCGTGTCGTCCGGGGTATTCCCCTTACCCCGGACGCTGTCATTTAACGCCGTACAGTGGCGGGTCGTGGCTTCAACTGTCAACTAGCCTTGTCAACTGTCAACTAGCGGGTCCAGCGGGTTTCCAACTGGCGTGCATGCTGGAACTCGGTGGTGTACCGCTGCTCCGTTTCGCGTGCTGCCTGCTTCAGCAGGCGCAGGTTGGCGGCCAGATCCGGCTCGAGCTTGGTTGCGCCGAGGAATTGTTTGATGACCTTCTTGCGCTCGTGTGGCGTGGTATAAAGTGGACGTAGCAGACGGACGTGGTCCAACGTCTTAAAGCGGGTCAGCAGCACATACAGGGTGGCACGCTTGATGCCGTTGGGTGGGACAGCAAGATCCACCAGCCAGCATTCATCTTTGAAGCTGCGGCCTTGTACGAAGTAATCGGTGACCGCCTGGCGGTCGCCGAGCGGTACGTTGAGGCGCCGGACCTGCTTTGTGAGGGTGCCACACCCGGGGGCGGGCATCTCCACCTCGGCAATGCAAGACGCCCGGGGTGACAGGATGAAGGCGCCACCCCTGCTGGCGTAGTCTGCAAGGCCCCGCAGCACGGTGTCGGGGATATGGCCGTTTATAGGCCGCACAATGACGGCCGCTGGAAGGTACTTGAGCCGGCGGTAGGGGCCGTGGCCGTCATCTGCTGGCTCGCGGCCATCCTCAAGCAGGCCGCAGGCTTCCACCTCGTTGTTGTGACTCGCCCCGGCATCGGCAGCCGTCGTATCAAGGAGGATGTATCGGGCGCCATGGTAGTACCACGTGTCGGCGGTGGTGTGGCCAAAGTCGTAATCCTTTATTCGCATCGCAACTGCTTTCTCCACGTGTGTCAGGGCTGGCTCTACAGCGGCGCCGCGCTTCTGGACAGGGACGTGGTCCGCATTCCACACCACGAGGCGCTGGTTCTTGCGCTGTGCTTCCAGCATTATGAGGCGGGTGTTGAGCGTGTGGCGTGGTTCGTTCCTCTGCAGCACGACGCGCGGCTCGAGGTGCGCTAGGTCGGCTAAGTCGACGACGGCGCGGCTGTTGAGGTCGTCAACCATTTCGGCTATGCGCTGCTCTGTGGCTGGCTCACCGCCGAACATAGAGGCGTACTCTGTCAGGCGACGACCAGAGGGACTGCTGTCCTGGCGCTGCTGCTTCTCCAGCAAGAAGACGGTCTTAGCCAGGGATCGGTAAACCCGGAAGCCCTCGAGTATGCAGCTCTGAGCCTGTGGGACGGCCCGGGGCCGGCGTGCTGCTACTTCGGGTTGCTGCTGACCGCCTTGGGATCCAGCAGCGGCCTCGTTAGGGTCGCCATCGTTGTCCTCCTCTCCGTGCAGAGGCTGTGCGGCCGGGACGGAGGGCGAGAACTGGGGGTTGCATTCTACATCAGCGGCGTACCGGTAGAGGGGCGGCCCACCTG